CTAAGTCACACCTTTTCACATACAGCTTTGTCAGGTGTCAGTATATCTGCCTCTGGAATGAGCTCTGTTAAAGGTCACTCCAGATCTGGGGCTATGGGCTTTCCCACCTGGGACTAAATTTGAGGGTGAACTTTGTGCTTAAAAGCACAAAGAATCTGCAAAGAGGACTCCCTGGTGCTCTAGTGGTGAAGACCCCACACTTCCTGGAGTTTTAGGGGTCTGGGTGCCAACCCTGAACTGGGAACTAGATCCCACATGCCATAGCTAAGACCTGATGAAACCAAATAAATAAAATAAAATTTAAAATAAATATTTAAAAAAAAAGATTCTGAGAAGAAAATTCAAAAGTTCTTTCTCTGGGAAAAGCAAACTTCTGCATGGGTAAACTGGACAGTAGTCTCAAGAAAGCTGTGGTTTAGTTGCTCAGTTGTATCTGACTCTTTGCAACCCCATGGACTGTAGCCTGCCAGGCTTCCCTGTCCAAGGGATGTCCCGGGCAAGAATACTGGAGTGGGTTGCCATTTCCTTCTTCAGGGGATCTTCCTGACCCGGGGATGGAACCCAAGGCTCCTGCATTGGCATGGGTCCTATTTTGAGTGTCCTGGTGGGAGATGCAGTTATATCAAGGACAGTTATCTCCCCCACGGTGACATCTTACAACATTCCTGAAGTTGGAAGTGTTAGATTCAAAACTTCCAGGACTCTGTAGGGGCGGGTAAGAGCCAGTGTTGGATAACAGTAACTTGAGACTCCAAGACTCCAGCTTATTTTAAGGCTCAGTCTTTGGGACTCTGAAGGACAGGCCTTTGGGAATGGGACTGAGACAAACAGAACGCTATGCTTCCACATTCCAGCTTTTGTTATTCTGCGTTTAAATACCAGCTTAAACTCCAATAACAGCCTCCATCATAAGAGAAGGAGAGGATTCACCCTAGGATGCTCCCAGGCAACTTTATCCTCCTGAGAATGGAGAGAGATAGAAAGGGGTCAATTTGCCAGAAAACTACTGAGAGAGGAGGTTTTCTGGAAACATCACCTCTTTTTTTTAAAACTGAAGTATAGTTGATTTACACGTTCTTTTAGTTTCTGGTATATGGCAAAGTGATTCACTTACATATATTGTTTTTCAGATTCTTTTCCATTGTAGGTTATTACAAGATACTTCCCAGGTGGCGCTAGCGGTAAAGAACCCGCCTGTCAATGCAGGAGATGTAAGACATGTGGGTTCAATCCCTGGGTAGGGACGATCCCCTGCAGAAGGAAATGGCAACCCACTCCAGTATTCTTGCTGGGAAATCCCATGGACAGAGGAGCCTGGTGGGCTTACAGTGGGCTCATAGGGCTGCAAAGAGTTGGACACGACTGAGCAACTTGGCATGCAAGCCTGAGCTGCTCTTCATCTGTCAGCTCTTGGCCTCAGCTTTGCATTATACCAACGATATTTAATGGGCTGTTTTGACAAGAACCAGGTTTGGGCTTCCCTGGTGGCCCAGTGGTTAAGACTCCGAGCTTCCATTGCAGGGGATGTGGGTTCCATCCCTGGTCAGGGAAGATCCTGCATGCTGCCTGGCACGGCCAAAGAGAAAAAGAAAAGAACCAGCTTTTTCTTACATTTTCCTGCTGTCCTATTTCCAGGGATTTTATGTCAAAAAACTGCAACCTTCCCCACCTCCTCCCCTCCCTCTTTTCTTCCCAGTGGCTTTCCCTCAAGGTCTGAAATTTGCTCTGCCGTCTCTGGCCATTCTCCGGCTGGGTGCTTTCTGTATGTTACTTCTGGAATCTTCCAGCTGCACCCGGACATTGATGTTGGAAAAAACCCAGACTCAGAGGCATGGGTGATCTGCCTAGGAGGAGGCCAGCCTTGGAGGTCCCCTAGTGAGAGCAGGGGTTGTTTTCTCAAATTTACTTCCGAGGAAGCAGGGAGGTGTGAGATCAAATGAGCTTCTCAGATGCGCCGGGCTGTGAAGAGTCACTTTGACTCAACTGGAGACCTTCCTTCACACAATCCAGGCTGTTTCTCATCGCTGTTTCTCAACCACACATGGGGCTATTTTAAGTCCTGGTGCTTCAGACTATTTCCTGTGGCTAATAAAAAAAACCCCCACATCCCACAGAGATGAAGGTAAAGCAGTGTCCAGAGTTTAGTATAGTAAACGTACAGACAAACAGAAAGAGGAGGGAGAGAAAGGAGAAAGATGTACCGAGAGTCCGGCCAGAAACAGAGCTGGAAAAAAGACAAAAGGTGATGAGCACATGAAACCGGCTTAACCCAAGCCGCTCTTTGTCTGTGATCTCCGTGGACGCGGACCCAGTTTCCACTTGGTCTCCCTGGTTTCTCACTTGGGCACAGAGGTGCTGTCAAAGTGAAACGGATGCATGAGAAGTGCTTTGGGTACCGGTGCGTGGAGAAGCCGCTCCGTACAGACGGAGCCCTTCTCTTCTGCACCCTTTCTACGGTCAGCTGTGGGGGTTAAACTCTCGCTGCAGTTTTCGTAGTAAGATGAAAGTGAGTTTATATCCTGGAGTGGGAACTCCTAAGAGTGAACGGTACGTAGAAATAAGCGAGTAGGGGTTGAATCTAGGACTTCATCGTACACCCAACCGTGTACTGGGGAGCCGACCACAAGTCTCCCCTGGGGGGCGACTTCTCCAGAATTCTAACCTCCTCAGTCAGTGCTTCCAACTTAGAATTGGGGGCATTGGTTTTGACCTGGGACTTGCCTGTTGGTCTGGTGGTTGAGAATCTGCCTGCCCATGTGGGGGACATGGGTTCAATCCCCGGTCTGGGAAGATTTCATGTGCCAAGGAGACCAAGGCCACGCGCCACAACTATTGAGCCCACGTTCTGCAACTACCGAAGCCCACCCACCTAAGCCTGCGCTCTGAGAAGCCAGCGCCCCGCATTGAAACGTAGCCCCTGCTCGCCGCAACTAGAGGAAGCCTGTGCACAGCAGCGAAGACCCAGGACAGCCAAAAATTAGTTAATTAAAAAATAGTTTTTGACCTAATGTTCAAACTGAGGGAAAGGATCGCTGTGCTTTTTCATCACTTATTACCATTGCTTCTACCATCTTGCAGGAGGCAAGAGCCTCCTGCCTAGAATTTGGAAGAATGGTGAGTGGTGTCCTGCAAAAGGGCCTCAGGAAAACCAGAGTCTCCCACAAGACCATCAGGAGAGTAAACATCAGATAGCACTGGGGTAGTGCAAAAAAAAAAAAAAAAGGATCAACACTAAAAATGTCTAGCATTGTCAAAATTCTCCTGATTTTAAGGATTTAGGGTTAGGATTCCACTGCAGCCAAGTGCCAACTTGCAAACGTTCTTCACCTTGTAACTTTAAACTCAGGGAATTGTAGGGACTTCAAGGACTGGTGGTCCAGGGGTTAAGAATCCACGTTGCAATGCAGAGGACACAGGTTCAATCCCCGGCCACGGATCTAAGGTACCACTTGCCACGGAGCAGTTAGGGAAGCCCGAGAGCTGCAACAGAAGATCCCATAGGACACAACGAAGACCTGGCAGCCAAATAAACAATATTAAAATAACAACAACAATAAGAGCAAACTCAGGGAGCTGTAACTTCAGGGTAGAACAGGCAAATAATTAGAGATGCTTTTATGCATGAAACCTCCGGAGAAATGGAACTGTGCCAAGAATGAGGAGACAGCCAAAATAAGCAAAGGGGGAGTTTGTGTCATCATCTGCATGTACGAGGAGAAAAAGTTATACAAACTATTCGACTCGTTTCGAAAGCATAATGAAACATGGATGCCCCCATTTTTGACCCCTGAGGAGACTTTCTGCACATGTGCAGTCAGGGAGATCTCCTTGACCTCCAGGATGAAGACTGGTCATCATCTTCTCACTCAAGCAGAGTTCAGCTCCTCTCTGCTCCTGCCTTTATTTCTGCCATGAAGCACCAACAGGAGACAGGCTCCCACTGCCCAGCCTGGGGTCCCACTGTCTCCAGTCTCAGCCCCACTCATGGACGGGGGGACCGTGAACCCTTGATACGTTTTTCTCATTGTTTTCTCACAACTGACTTATGAAGGTGGTAAATTATTCTCATGTTTTCCGGATAAGGGAACTCCTTTGGTTTATACATATATGGAATCTAAGAACGTCTCTCCTTCAGTTCTGCTGTTGTTCAGTCACTAAGTCATATCTGACTCTTTTGCAACCCCATGGACTGTAGCCCACCAGTCTCCTCTGTCCATGGGATTCTCCGGGCAAAAATATGGAGCAGGTTGCCATTTCCTCCTCCAGGGGATCTTTCCAACCAAGAGATCAAATCCATGTCTCCTGTGTCTCCTGCCTTGGCAGGCGAATTCTTTACCACTGAGCCACCCAGGAACCTGGGCTTAGATGAAATAAACTTGATATTCACTAACTTCAGCTTTAGGCCCTATGCAATTTGGGGGTTATAATGGGCTGCTAGGCTTTTAGGGGTATTTTTATTATTATTCTGTAAATATCTTTTTTTAAAAAAAATATTTATTCATTTGCCTGCATCGGGTATTAGGTGCAACACTTGAGACCAGGCATAGAACCCATGTTCCCTGCCTTCCATGACAGATTCTTAACCACTACACCACTGGGAAGTCCCTGTTTTTTGGTTTTTGTTTTTTAATTAGCTTTTATTCATCTTAGTGCAGTAAGTCAGGTGGTGAGGTTCGCTTGCTAATGTGCCTTTTTAAAGACCTTACCTCATAGCAGAGAAAATTAAGTGCTGGAAAGAATGGTTCAACAGCCAGTCACACGCCACGCTTTATGGCATAGCCAGCCGATATGTAGAGGAGGGCGTGTGTGGAAAAAGACAAGGTGAGGTGATTAATTTTTAAGTACTAAATATTTATTGACAGAGTATCTCTCCAGGCAGTGTTCACATGCTCGGGACCAATGCTTATAACTTGGCAGTGCTATTTAAGCAAACAAACTCAGTCAGTTGAATGCAATGATTAACAGGAAGTTGGGGAGCTGACACAGTTGCCAACCTTCTGGCTGAGAGAAGAGGCCGGGGTTAAAGTCTGAGAGCGGTGACTCGCAGAACCGTCCCTTCATCCCTCACGCATTTTCCTGTAGGGAAAGGTGGACACGCCGGAGTCAGAACCTCCATGGGGCAACTTTTTTTTGGTGTAGAAACAGGTTGCAAGATGAGTGGGGGAAGGAGACAGAAAAGCAAATCCCTAAGAGTTCCTTCAGAAACGTGTTGGAGAAAGGTGGAAAAGCGGCACCGTGGGGAATGAAGAGGAAAGGAAGACAGAAACAGGACAAGCAGGATCACAGAGCGGCCGGTCAGAGCTGCGTCCACCTGGAGGATGGTTATGGACTTGGGAGAAATTGTAAGTTAAGTCTGTCTACCCTCTGACCAGATGTCCCAAGAGACATTCCACTCATTTCCTGGGTTTGAATGATGGGGTTTTGGAAGCGTTGTCTCTTTTGTGTGTCTCTGGCCACCACCCTGATTTTCGTGTTTGTTTGCAACAAGTTAGGGGAGAATAAAAATTTCCAGCAAGCTTCCATATCCAATGCTTCACTATTATCAGAAGTCTGTCACCAGATTTTTAAGGGGAAGAGTTTTTACCCTAAAAAGAACGCATTGAAGAGTACCTTCAATGAAACCACCTGTCCTGATTACGTGGCTCAGAGTCACTACATCACAGAAACACTCTCTGAAGAAGAGGCTGGCTTCCCCTTGGCTTATGTGATGACCATCCACAAAGACTTTGGCACTTTTGAGAGACTCTTCAGGGCTATTTACATGCCCCAAAATGTCTACTGTGTTCACATGGACGAAAAGGCGACAGATACTTTTAAAGGCTCGGTGGAACAGTTACTGAGCTGCTTCCCAAATGCTTTTCTGGCTTCCAAGATGGAGCCCGTGGTCTATGGTGGGATTTCCAGGCTCCAGGCTGACCTGAACTGCATGAAACATCTTGTGGCCTCAGAGGTTCCGTGGAAATACATCCTCAACACCTGTGGGCAAGATTTCCCCCTGAAAACCAACAGGGAGATCATTCGGCATCTGAAGGGATTTAAAGGGAAAAACATCACCCCCGGGGTGCTGCCCCCAGCTCACGCAATTGGGCGGACTAAGTATGTCCACCAGGAGCTGCTAAACCGAGAAGATTCCTACGTGATTAAAACCGCAAAGTTGAAAACGGCGCCTCCTCACCACATGACCGTTTACTTTGGCTCTGCCTATGTGGCCCTCACAAGGGAATTCGCCAACTTCGTCCTTCAAGACCCGCTGGCGCTTGACTTATTGTCCTGGTCCAGGGACACGTACAGTCCTGACGAACACTTCTGGGTCACACTCAATAGGATTCCTGGTATGTATATCTCTTAACTTTTGCTGTTATGAATAAACATCGCATGGCCAATACTGAATTAACCACTAAAAAATAAGTTTTTAAAAATTAGCACCTTCATAAAGATCTTTCTTCGTGTGAGTTCTGTCCCTGGGTCAGGAAGATCCCCTGGAGAAGGGCTTGGCAAACCACTCCAGTATTCCTGCCTGGAGACTCCTGTGGACAGAGGATCCTGGTGGGCTGCCGTCCATAGGGATGCTAAGACTCGACTGAAGTGACTTAGCACACATTCACAGTTTCAGACGTTCATTAAAGTATCTTTATAGCAGCTCTGCTCACAGGGTGGGTGGCGGAACTCATCTTCATTTTGTGTTGGTGTTGTTCAGTCACTAAATCGTGTCTGGCTCTTCTGCAGCCCACCCCAGGGACTGCAGCCTGCCAGGCTCCTCTGTCCATGGGATTTCCCAGGCAGTGGGGTGCCCTTTCCTTCTCCAGGGGATCTGCCCTACCCAAGGATCAAATCCATGTCCCCTGCCTCTGCTGCTTTGGCAGGCAGATTCCTTACCATTGTCCCCCCTAGGAAGCCCAAAGTTTCCTAGACCAAAGCCTTTATTTTATAGACAAAGAAGCTTCAGCGTGGTTGCATGATGTGTTCAGATTACCCAGCTAGCAGGCAAACATGCCAATTGTATCAGGTCACCTAAGCCTGATGTTCTTTTAAGGTGATTTCCTAAATTAGTTGTTCGGTTGTTCCTAAATCAACTTCACCTTTCCTTGGTCCGAGTTCCAAATGCCTTAAATAATCTCCACTTGTTTACAGTGAACTAACTTCAGTTCTGCTAGTTCAATTGAAAATAAAAATTCAGATTCCTAGTTCAAAGGAAAATTAACTTGAATCTACATAAGGATTAGGTTCATGGTTTCTTGAGATTAGTGGTTCAGCCCTAGATACATATTAAAGTTTCCTGGAGCTTGTAGAAATACATTTCCTGATTTCCTGGGTGGATGTGAACTTCAGTATTTGTTCAGCCTCCAGGAAATTCTCAGGAACAGTCAGGGCTGTGAACCACTGTGGATGCTTATTTTTGTTGTTAGTATACAAAGCTTGCTAGACTTAGAATGCTTTTTAAATCTATGGTTTTCCCAGAGCAGGAATGAGTGATGTTGTAGTGATAAAAGAAATCAAGACAAGGACCTAGTGTATAGCACAGGGCAATGTCTTGTAATAACGTCTATTGGAAAATGATCTGAAAAAGCTTTCCCGGTGGCTTAGCAGTAATGAATCTGCCTGGAGTACAGAAGACACAAGTTCAGTTCCTGGGTTGGGAAGATCCCCTGGAGGAGGTCTGGGCAATCCACTCCAGTATTCTTGCCTGGTGAATCCCATGGACAGAGGAGCCTGGTGGGCTATAGTCCATAGGATTGCATAAATATATATATATATATGCATGTGCGGTCAGTTGCTTCAGTTGTGTCCAGTTCTTTGCAACCCTATAGATATATATATCACTTTGCTATATACTTGAAACTAGCACAACATTGTAAATCAACTATATTTGAATAAAAAAATTTTTTTAATTAAGAAAAAAATAAAATGACCTCTTTTGGCAGAGATCATGGTCAAAAAAGAAATCAGGGCTCAAGAAAGTGAAGTGAAGGGACTTCCCTGGTGGTCCAGTGGTTAAGAATCCGCCTCCCAATGCAGATCTGGTTCAATTCCTGGTTGGGGAACTAAGATCCCACATGCCTTGGGGCAACCAAGCCTGTGAACCGCAACTAAGACCCAACTAAGTCATGATGCTGCCAAAAACAATAAAAGTTGAAAAAGAAACTGAATTGGAGGAGTCATGACCGTTTAGCTGTTCATGTGGAGTTGTAATACCCAGAATAAGGGAAATAAAAGCCCCACTCTTCTCTTATGTGTTGCTTGGACCAAATATGATATCGACCATTTCCATGGATCTAGGATTAGAATAGTGAACAAACCCAAGGGATGTTTGGAAGCCGAGGCTGGGGAAACGGTGTCAAGGAAACTCATTTATCAAGTGTTGGACAGATGGCCTGTGAGTCTCTTTCACTCTGGAGCCCCTGAGTCTAACTAATGAGTCTAATCAATTTATTGAACAGAAATGTTGCGTCCTCAACATGATTTATCTATTGGAACTAGATTGTTACGTCTCTGGTAAAGATCAGCAGTTACAGGTCAGCAAGACAATGGAAAACAAATGAACTGCTCCATGCGTTTCAAAACGTTTCAAGGAAGGGGCCTTTAGAATTGCTTCTGTGTTATGTGTCCGGAGGATCCTTGTTAGAGGCCTTCACTGGACCAGCCAACTTTTACAAGACCTGAGGCAGGCCTGAGAGTAGGGCTTGGTTGTGAGGAGGTGAGGGAACTAGAAGCTTAAGTGGCTGTCTTGTTTAATGGTTCCTTCTGCTATGTGAACATCTGGGTCATTTCTGTTTTAAGGGTCCTTCTTTGCTGATTATGAGTTTGTTGGGTATTTGCTTTGGACATTTTAAGATTGTTCTAGTTGACTGCAGTGATGGTGCACATGTTAGGATTCTCAAGTAATAGGACAGGGACTTTCCTGGTGGTCCAGTGGTTAAGAATTTGAGCTTCCAGGGCACGGGGGTAGGGGGTCACAGGTTCAATCCCTGGTTGGGGAACTAAGATGCCACATGCCAAGTGGTGTGACCAAAAAGTTTTAAAAAAAGAAGAAGAAGAAATAGGACAAAAAAAAAAAATCTACTGGATGAAATGGCCTCATGAGGAGGTAGAACACCATCTGAAAGAAATACACTATGAGCCACATAGGTAACTTTCCATCTTTAGCGCTACATTAAAGAAACAAAAATGAGTAGGTCAAGTGACTTTGGATCATGTATTTTATTGAACCCAGTATAGTCGAATACCAAAGGTGCCGGTGGCTGGTGGCTCCTGGGATGGACAGAGCAGGCAGCCAGGCATCCTCCCCGCTCTGGGAGGAACAATCAGATGGCAGTGGGGCCGTCCCAGCAAAATGGAGAAGTGCCAGCGTCTTCATCTCTGGTTCTCTGTCCTCACCTAAGAGTCTTACCCCTGCTTCAGAGCTTTGCCTGGCTCGTGGGCCTGGCAGGTTCTGCTTTTAGCGTCTTCCCCTTGTGTCTCCAGCCAGATTCTGGGCCACTCTGTCGACGGCAATTCCTCTGTCTCGTTCAGATGTTTATTCTCAGACAGCCTCGCTGTGTGGGTTCTGAAGTCACCGAACAGTGAGCATCCCTGTTCGCATCCCGGCCGCTTCCTGGGCAGCAGGCGACCCCTCTGTAGAGGTGCTGCCTTTCATTAAGGCCCCCAACCATTCAGGTCAGGTGGGGCCAGGGGGGCAGGGTCACATGGATTCAAACACAAGCAAGCTGTGGTCCCCTAATACACAGTAAGACCATTCAGCAGCCGCTGGTCCTCCAGAAACCTCTCAGAAGTGAGGGTTCCTGCACAGCCCACCCGGGCGAAGGGGCCCACAAGGACGGAAGTGTTCCAGAAAGAACGTTCACAGGTGCCTTAAAAGATGCTGTCCAACGGACGTCACCAGCTGTTGTGAAATGAGGGTTCCTGTCCTTCCTCCGTCTTTACCCCGCTTCTCTCCCAACTCTGTCCTGCCCCTTCCATTCCTTAATCCAGCTCACACCAAGGTGGCAGCCTTTCAGTTCCCCGTTGGCCTCAGCCGTGGCTGATTTCCAGTTAGGACAGAGATCCTTTTATGGGCCAGAGGTGCCAGTTCACTGCCTCCTGTTTCCTTCTAAGTTATAGATCATGTGCTCCTCCCGTCGGCATGGTTCTGCCCTGAGCAGGAACTTTCAGTGGGTTCTCATTCATCACATGCTCTTGGGATTTAAAGATTTTGAAACTGACCAATGTTTTCGGCCTCACTTGCAACAAAGGAATATTTCTCATTTGATTCAGTGGGAGCTTATTTCAAATTCATTTTAATGAATGAATGAAGAAAGTCTTTCCTCTTTTCTAATTCTGAAAAAAATCTCAGAGAAAAAGAAAAGGCTGAGAGCAGGTTTCATTGGAGATGGGAGGAAAAAAGAACAAGAAATCTAAAGGGGAAGGTATAGAGAAGAGAAGAAAATTGGAGATTGTGGGCTTGGAAGACAGATTATATTTGCTTTTCATTTTTCCCTCAGAGAACCAGCTGATGGACCCGCCCTGCTGGTATTTTCTGCCGCGTATGTGCCCCTGTGCCCTTGAAAGGGGAGGCTTGCTGAGTTTCTGCTGTGAAGTCCACACTGGCCTGACTCCATCATTATTGGAGGCTGGCTCGTTGCTTTAGTCTCTTTATATGTACAGATGCCGTGGTGAGGTGCCAAGTGCTGAAACCATGAGGGAAGCAGGAAGAATCAATCTAAATAAAGCTGGTTCTGGGAACTCACAGTTTGGCAGCCGCCCCCCGCCCCCCCTGCCGCCCCAGGGATTTGGCTGGGATCTTGCTATATCCAGAGGGAATTTATGCTTCTGAAACACATTATGCTCACAGAGCTTCCAGGATCACTGGGTGTACGGGCAGACTTGCTGGGGAAGGACAGTTGGGGGATAAGTTTTATTAGCAGCCCCAACAATCTCTGTTTTGGTATCTGTTGAAATACAGACTTTTGTCATAGGAAAAGAAATCAGCAAGTTGGGATACATGCGAGTTGTTTTTCAAGGAAATACCATCTTTCCTCAAAAAAAAAAAAAATCAAAAATATAACTACCGTACAATCCAGCAATCCCACCACTGGTTATTTATCCTAAGAAAACAAAAATATTAACTCAAAAACATGTATTAATATATACCCCCTATCTTCATTCCTGCATTATTTATTATAGCCAAAATATGGAACCAACCTAAGTGCCCATCAATATATGAATGGATAAAGAAGATGCGGTCTACACACACACACACAGAGAGAGAGAGAGAGAGAGAGAGAGAGAGAGAGGAATATTACTCAGCAATGAAGAATGAAATATTGTCATTTGCGACAACACGGGTAGACCTAGAGAGTATTACGCTGAATGAAAAAGGTCAGGTAGAGAAGGAAAAATACCATAGGATTTCACCTATATGTGGAATCTAAAAAACAAAACAAAAAAACTGAAATGAAGTAGTAGATACAGAGAACGAACATGTGGTTGCTAGAGGGAAGGGG